TTCTTTAGTTCTATATTTGATAAATTCTCCACATAAGGTATTTTTCTTTTTACAGACAATATTTACAGCTGACCTTGTGATGGATTATCTATATAATCTGTTTTTTTTATTTTGCTGTATTTTTTATAATGTAATAATTTAAATATACTTTGTTTTGTTTAAATATTTTCTCAGTGAATCTTTCTCAGTTTTGCACATACATATATTTTTAAAAAGCACTCACTGAGTCTTCCATTTCTCTTCCAGCTGTTTGTAGAAATATTTTATTATTATTTGCAATTACATGAAGGCCCACAGCAGACCACATGAACTGGATGAGTAACCAACTTTCACAGGAGGGCATTCAACTCAAGTCACTGTGCTACTCAGGAAAACCAAAAAACTGAAAATGAACCAAAATCAAAAACCCTTTACAAATAGTATACTCATGGAGAAAACAGGAGAGTTTTTTTTTTCTGGGTGCAGAAGTGGATTGATCAACTCACCACACACTAGGACAGAATATCCTGTTTTCATTTGTTTTGCAATTTTGAAGCAGGGTTATGCTTTAAAGCTGCATGAGCTGATGAATGACCTCTTTTAGTTTCAAGGAGACATGAGCTGCACTTCCCAAAGTCTGACCTGCATAGAGCCACCTGCTCAGGGTCCTCCTCACTCAGGATGGTCAGCCTGAATCCTGCAGAAGCAGAACTAAACTACTGTGAACCAAATAATTAAACTGAGCGTGCACTGCAAATACCCATTCAAACAAGTGTTTTTCATTACCAAACTGTATGAATTAATGTAACTATGCCAGCCCTTTCCATTTTTATTTTAAACATCTAAATGATTATGAAGTATTTTTGTAAAAATAAATAAATAAATAAAAATCTTTGTTTAATATGACTTGCCTGGAATGATATTAAGAAATGTAGATCAGCACGAAGGAAATAATTGAATGTTGTGGCAGCTTTGAAAGGAGAAGTTTGGGGCCTAGAAGGATTACAAGCTACACAGCCTGGAGGAAGTAAGCAGATACAGATGTCCTGAGCAAATGAGAAGTAAATTTCCTAAAAAACTTTAAAAAGCTCATTTCATGACCTGTGGCTGGAGGTAAAGATGAGAAGATACTGTATATTTGTTAGTTTTAGCCAGTGACTTGCCTCATAATACACTTCCAGCTATCTCACACCTCTTTGACTCATAAATTTATTCAGTGGGGAGGTGGCAAGGCTTTTCTGGTACCCAGCAGTGCATCCAGCATCTTAATGAGATAAACCAATAAGTCACATGGCATGCATAAAATTAGAGGCTGCCTGCATATGGGCGCACACAAACAGAACATCACAACCCAGTACACATCCATCCCGTACCTCCCATTGTTGTGCAGTCAGACAACAGGACGGGACTCCAGAAGTGGCCACAACCGGCTGACTTCTCCCCTGAGAGCCTGCGCGAGTCAGATTTGCAGCAGCTACCCTCCCTTCAAGAGTCCTCAGGGAGAAGGATCTCCAAGCTGCTGCGGGGCCATAGACGAAGCAGATGCCGACCACTCAAACTAATGGGAGGTCCGCGGCGGCCGGGGTGGGGGCTTACATAACTCTTCTTTGGTTCCCATGCCCTGTGGCACGTTCATGTCACACCCTCGCAAGTAATACAGATGACAACAGCAGTGAGGGTGCACTGTCCATCTGCTCCCCACACAAAGACACAGGCATCCTCCTGCAGCATCTGCAGGAGGATGCAGATACTGTATACGCTCAGAGTGCACACATTAAAGAACATTGCTGTCTCACCCAGAGGAACAACAGATAAGGTAATTGTCATGTCTGTGTGACACGAGGGCTGTAGGATGGACATATGATCTGATGTACAGGAACAGGTGTTCCACACATCCTTTGCTTCATGACATAAAACCACACAGAGCATCTGATACGTGCACAAAAACAAACAACTGCAGCTCTGATGTTTTGCATTATTTATGGGCTCTAACTTCTAACACACATCAGCAGACGGATGGCTTTTTTTTTCAGTTAACCAGTTGAAGCACAGATATTTGATCATTTTCTCTGCCGTTTTGTATTCTCACATTGTGATCATCATGGTAAAAAAATAAAAAACAAAATAATTGTTATATCAATGGGGATTTTTTGAAAGTATCAAGAAGTTAAACTGATTTCAAATATATTGTCTCTCCTTTTTGGGCAAATGAATTCGACCTAAAATAAAAGTTTATACAAAAAGAACAATTACAAAATTGTTAACAGCACGAGTCAAAATCAACACCCGCAGGTCAAATCTGGTCTCTACCCACAGTCCACAAACATGAGTGTTTGGTCCTGATGATTCTAAAATTTAGGTAGCAAACATGTGCAGAACCAAGGATTTATATGGATTTGTACTTTTCAGTGATCAGTAAAATATATATAACATACAGGTGACTGCATTACACTGAGTCTGATCTCAAAGTGATGGGGCTGAAAGGACATTTCTATGTGCAGCCAGGTCCACAGCAGAAGTTTCCACTGTGCGGTACATGATGTTTTTCTCACACAAATATTGAGTTGTCACGTTAAAGCCTATAAATCATCCTGCATAAAACTGGTAGAAATATGTCCCAAACCAAAATTTCAACTTTCAAATTTGGGCTTGTTATACAGTTTGTTGTGAGTTGCACTGTAAATGATAGATTATCTTTCTTTGTTTGTCGCCTCTGAGTTAAGATATTATCACATATGAAATATTTACCACATACAAAATGTTTAAATATCATGATTATCATAAATACATTGTTATTCTCACCATAAATGTGTTTATTTTTTGTGTTAGAAACAAAACAAAACAGTTGAAAAGTTTGTAATGAGGTGATAGATGGCAATCAGGCAAAGTCGGGAGAGCACATAGTGCCAACTTTAAAAACACCACAGATTACAAAAACGATAAACCTACAAACCTCCTCCTCATGGGTACTCCTCAGTTAACTGAAACGAGATTTTTTTCCCCCATAAAACTCAGATGGTTTAAGTTGATGGATGGATGCAATGGATAACAATTCAAATAGACAAGAAAGTTAAAGAAGACACAACAACTCCTCTCCTGTCCAAGCAGGATTTATTTGGCCTACAGGCATACGGTTACACCTGCCCAGTCAAACTATCGCTAAATCGTCCTTTTTTTCCAAGGCTGTCGATATTTTAAAGGAGGACTTTTGTTGCGCTTTTAGAATCGCTGTTCTGGGCTTTGTTATTTAAAAGTTTGAAGAACTGACAAGCTACTCAGAAATCCGAAAAAACACAATGTATATGTTTCCTTTCCGTATTGTGCTCGTTATCTGCAGAGAAGCGTGCCAGCATATTCAGGGGGCCACTTCAGGCACGCGTTCCCCTTTCTCATTTTAATATCAATAGGTATCCACCCGTCGTCCAGCCCCCGTCACAGCACACATATACCAACTGACATGTCTGTAAAATGAAAAAAATAATGAACGTAGCTGAAATGCCTTGGGGTTACCATGGTGGAATCATGTGTCAGATTTTATATATTATATTATTTATTCAGTATTAATATTGTTAATTTGTGCTACAGTGACTCATCAATCCACTGTAGTGACAGGGATTTTGGAACTGAAGCACTGGGATGAAGAATTGGTTAACTCACCTTCAAACAAGTATTTATATTAATAAACAGTCAAGCTGCCACATTTTTATTTTGTGCTTCTCTACAGCTTTGATAGCATTAACACTTACTTGAACTAAAACATTAACTGGCTACTAAAATGGATAACAACAAAGGTCGGTGGCAATGGTAGGATCAGTTCAAGGTCTAAAGCTAACAGCTTAGGTGTGTTTACTCTCCTGCGACAGGTGCGGGACTCGGCAACAGACCGGAGTTTTTTCTTAAATCAATAAGGGGTTAGTGGTTTGTGCGCGCCCGCGCAGTGGAAGAAGACGCTTTGAGGAGACAATAGCCGGGTTTGGAACCCCCCAAGGCGGATCATGTGCCGCTGATTATCATACAGCTGTTCGCATGAGGTTCAGACAAAGGCAACAGAGAGTCTCAACGACTCCCTGGTTACGCCTGCACACACACGCGTGCGCGCGCGCCGCCTTCTTTCTTGTGACACAAGAGCACAACAGAAGTCTGAATGACCGCTACACACACAATGCGCGCTTATCCGGAACCTGCCCACTCTTTGTCACCTCACACGCGCCACAGCAATTAGAAGGTTGAATACTATTCTTTGCTCCCTTCTGATCTTTAGTGTATGTATAAAACACTTTCTAAACTATGATATACAGCTAGGAAAATGGCGAAGAGCCCACTGTCATGATTCATGTGGGAGGTCTTGAATGCTTTGGAGTGCGTTTGATTAAAACTGCAACAAAATTCTAAATACAGAAGAAAAAAAATCCTTTCAGAGAGAAAAGAAGTTCTGATTTAAAACTAACTCCAAACACTCTTCAACGCCCATCAATAAAAGTTGGATCGTTTGCTATCAAACTCACTTTATTGTCTATTTGTGACAATCTAGTCCCATCACCTGCATCGGCTTGCTTTTTTTCCTGGCTGATCAAGAATCGTACAAACTTGATAAACGTATCTTCATGTACCAGCTTCTAATGCATATTCCAAAGAACTTTGTCCAGATGTAACGAGTGTTCCCTAAATCCCTAAGCAGGCCCCTTGTGTCTGGATGCAAATCTACTCCCCTGAGGTCTGCCACGGCTCCACCTCTTTGCCTGTGACGCGCAGATCAGAGGGTATAAAACCGCTCTGCGCCTTTACGCACCAGAACCCAAACAAGACGAGTGCCAATAAGAGGTGAGAGGACAAAGGAGAGGACTACCAAGAGGTCTCAGGATACCCTGAAAAGATAACAGACTTAAGAGTGATGAAAAATATTTGAGAGATTTCCCCTCCACTGTGACAGCATCCTGAAGTGATCTATCTGTCTGGCATTGTGACGTACGGCGAATGAGGAGCTCCAAACTTTAAACTTGGAAAAGCAAACTTCAGGAAAAATGGCACATTTGCATCTGAGATGCCTATTGGCTCTGGCCTTAGTGCACGTTGTAAGTTGTCTTCAGTTTATGCTCAAATAACACCCCGAAGACGACTTTACGCCGTGATATCTTATTTTATTTATTTCTCATTACAGGTTTTGTCCTCTGGTGTGTTTGAGCTGAAGATTCATTCCTTCCACACCGCGCAGCGGATCTGTCGAAGACACAGGGACTGTCACATTTTTTTCAGAATTTGCCTGAAACACCCGGAGGATGTCATCTCCGCAGAGCCGCCCTGCACCTTTGGTACCGGACAGACCAACGTCATCAGAGCCGATCACACCTCGATCTCCAGCAGCGCTCCCATCAGGGTGCCTTTCCACTTCAAGTGGCCGGTAAATAAAAAAAAAAGAATATCAGTTACACAAACAGTGGTGCTGGAGTTCATATACCCGTTTAAAATATTCATAGTTTACGTCCGCTACACATCCCTGATCTCGAACTTACCAAGTACTGATGCGCTTTCCCCCTCCTGTTTTTAGGGAACATTTTCGTTGATCATTGAAGCCTGGAACGCTGAATCTCCCACTGAATACACAGGTAGGTTGTTTTAAATAACTGACCCTATTTAAGCCAAACCAACATATCTTGCGGAAGGGTATTTGTTTTACAACTTTCTGTAACCCCTGCAGACAACCAGAACAACCTCGTGAGCCGTTTGGCGACCAGAAGGAGACTTGCCATTGGAGAAGACTGGTCCCAGGACGTGCATTTTGGAGAACAGAGCGAGCTGCGCTACTCCTACCACGTCTTCTGTGACGAGTACTACTTTGGAGACGGCTGCGCTGACTATTGCAGGCCGAGGGATGATACGCTGGGCCACTACACCTGCGACGAGGAGGGCAACCGCATCTGCCTGGAGGGCTGGAAAGGAAACTACTGCTCTGAGCGTAAGCGTTCATGATTGATGACTTGAAGTGTCCATGAGCAAGGCACTTGAGTTTGCCATACTCTTTTATGTTGCGGTGGCTTTATCATATAGTGTATAACAAATACGTCTACTTAAGTTAGTTCACCTATTTATACAATATAGCATCTTTTAAAACAAACTTACAACGCTGATAAAACGGAAATTCAAATTTTCTCACTATAGTTTGATCAAAAATGTTAAATAAATGTAGAGAAAACAATTAAATAGAATTAAATCAAATAAAAAATGTTCCTAAAAAATTCAATAAAAACGTTGAATAAATGCACAAACATAAGAAATGTAAGGACTGAGATAGATAGATAGATAGATAGATAGATAGATAGATAGATAGATAGATATGTATAAAAAAATATGATGAGCAAGATTTATAAAAACATTACACAGATGCTCATCAGCAGATATCCTGTAGAAGTTTTTTTTAATAAGGCGGGGTTTGGTATTCCATCTACCTTTTGTTGTGTTACAATGTGACAAAGAGCTGGGACCATTGTTAGACATACACATTTTTCAAGGTGATCAGGCTACGTGTGTGTGTGTGTGTGCACGTGTGTGTGTACTTGTGTGCATGTAATCGGGAAGAGATAAAAGAAAGCATTTTCTCCGGCAGTGTGCCTACCAGCTGCTTGGTTTAATGCTTAACCAATAGTGAAGTCTGGAACAGGGCTGGGGTCAGACTAGGGGCCCTGTATGTGTTTGTGTGTGAGATGTATGAGAAGGGGTGCCCATTGTAATCACACACCCTCCCCTCCCTCTCCCCCCCAGCCATCTGCTCAGCGGAATGCAGTGAGAGGCATGGCTACTGCGAGGCCCCAGGGGGCTGTACGTGCCGCATGGGCTGGCAGGGCCCTTCCTGCAATGAATGCGTCCGCTACCCAGGCTGCCTCCATGGGACATGCAGCCAGCCGTGGCAGTGTAACTGTCAGGAGGGTTGGGGGGGCCTCTTCTGCGACCAGGACCTGAACTATTGTACTAACCACAAGCCATGCGCCAATGGTGCCACTTGCACCAACACAGGCCAGGGCAGCTACACCTGCAACTGCCGGCCCGGCTTTGGAGGTACCAACTGCGAGCTGGAGACCAACGAGTGTGACAGCAACCCCTGCAAGAACGGAGGCAGCTGCAATGTGAGTCAACAATCAGTTTGTCTGCTTATTATAACGATGCAATAAGAGCAAGATAAGATAAGAAAAACTGATCCCATGCAGGCAAGTTTAAGTTTCACAACAGCAGGAGATAGGATAGGGCATGTGCAGCAATATACTGCAAACAACAGAAGAAAATGAATGGATGGATTATAAATTGTGCTAACAAAGAAAGAAAGAAAGAAAGAAAGAAATAAAAGAAAAGTCAAAATTGCACTTGAGGGAGTAGAACTAGATGATTGCTCTCTACTGGTCTACAGAAGATTTGACACAATGCATACAGAATAGTTCTTGGCAGCGAAATAGATCGGCTGCTTACGTCCTATTTTCTAGATCTTTGCTCTGTGAGCTGAAGGTTTTCTTTCCTTCCACAGGACCTGGAGAACGACTACTCCTGCACCTGTCCTCAGGGATTCTATGGGAAGAACTGTGAGATCATTGCCATGACTTGTGCAGACGGTCCCTGCTTCAATGGCGGCACCTGTGTGGAGACAATGACCGGAGGCTACACCTGCCGCTGCCCTCCCAGCTACACTGGCTCCAACTGTGAGAAGAAGCTGGACCGCTGCAGCAACAGGCCCTGTCTAAATGGTGAGTGTACGGCGACATCTTGTGGCTGAAGTACAAATCAAACAACCTTGGCTCTTCTTCAGTGGTGAAGTGTGACTCTCAGCACTTCTGCATGAATGCACTTGTAGCAAATGTAATCCAATTAACACTCCTTCTTTAAACGACTGGCCACCTTCTGATTTAATGGATGCTGAACAGAGTGTTTCTCTCTTCTGCAGGCGGTGAGTGTCTGGATCTCGGCCAGAGCATCTTGTGTCGTTGTCAGGCAGGCTTCACAGGTGCCAACTGCCAGGTTAACATTGACGACTGTGCCTCAAGTCCCTGCCAGAATGCTGGAACCTGCCAAGATGGTGTAAATGACTACACCTGCTCCTGTACTCTGGGATACACTGGCAAGAACTGCAGCGTGCGCTCAGATGCCTGTGGCGCCCATCCCTGTCAGAACGGTGGCACTTGTTTCACCCACTTCACTGGGCCCGTGTGCCAGTGCCCCAAGGGCTTTATGGGTCCCAGTTGTGAGTTCACGCTTCAGCCCAGTTTCAAGCCAGCTTTGCGCCAAACCTCCCAACCCTCATCTACTACCCTCACCCTCTCCTGTGCTCTGGCTATTCTGGTACTAGTCCTGGTTGCAGGGATCCTCTACTTGAGGAGGAGGAGGAGAATGCAGGGAAGGAAGCAGCTAAGAGACACTGCAGTTTATAACGACTTGGAGACAGTCAACAACCTGGGTGGAAGCGAAAGAGACGCCTTCCTCGGCCCCAATGGCCTCTTCAAGATCAGCAACAGCACAGCCCGTCTCAGCCTCTCCCTCTGCCCAGACGGCAGACCGGGCTACAGGCACAACCCTGTGGAGAACAGCCTCTCCAGAGGGGAGCGTCAGGACTTCATGTGGAGAGATGAGGCAGGACTGAGATGAAAAGCGACAAAGCACAGATTTGAAAAACAGGGAAAGAAACACATTAGCACTTGTTGCTCCTCTTTCCATATGTACAGTGAGGGAAGGAGTAAATCCACGAGGTGGAAACCACTCGTGCTCACAAACCAATATAAACATCACTGAAAAAAGCAAAATTGTGACAAATAAACTATTCTGATATAGATGATTTATTACTGAGAAGGTATCCGGGGCCAAGCTCTTCCATGTGTAAGACCCAAAGAGACAAATAATATGATCCACTGTTCATAGGACCTAAAACACAAAACCAAATACAGGAAGATCCGATATCCAGGCCTCTTTTGGAAAACTGGCCCAGATGTGTTTTGCTGGGTTATTCTTTTGAATATGTTCACTTTGTTGTTGTTTTTTTTTAACACTCAAATTTTCTTTTGCTTTTCAATCTTCCTTTTGCCATTATTTCCTTGTTGTGCGTACCATCATTTTTTTTTTATCGTTTTATTATTAATTATTATTTATTTATTTGAAAACTCGTGTTTATGGTTTCACTTTGTCACAGATGTAGAGATATATTTATATGATGCTAAATGAAGACCGATGCTTGATGCTGTGCATGGATGTTTTGTAGGCTGTGTGAGATATCCCAAAGATATGATGGGCAGGGATATAATGAGAATGTGCTTTTTCACATAACGTCAGCCATCACTGTAATTTATATAAATATATATAATATAGTACTGCTGTTCATGTGCCATTTTGAGTTCATGCCAAAGTTTGTTTTATGTTGCATCTTTTCATTCATATTATTTATTTGTAAGTTCATTATGTCATGGTTGTGATGTGAAATAAAACTTTGCTTTAAAGCGATCCGAGATTTTAGGATTCTGTTCCACAGGCTTGAACAGTCCTGTTTTACATGGTATCAGTGGTGATTTATATTCTGGTTGATCTAGGAGGCAATGACTTCAGAGCTCAAATATATATTTTTAAATAAACTAGTTTAACTATTTACTAATTCGCTCAAAAAAAAAGGTCAAGATGCTGAAAAATGCATCTTCATTGCACTCACACACGGAAATTTCGAACCAGTGACTATCAGTCCGCTTCTTGTGTCCTTTGGCTGACCTCAGATCTTTCTCCCTGTTTCTCTTCCTTAAGAATGGCTTCTTAGCAGCCACCCTACCGCTGTGACCACTCCTGATGAGGCTTCTGTTAACTGAACAGATGCTGTTCAGTTTATTAAGCCTATTTTGCCTTCCAATTTTTCTGCTTCCTCAGATTTTATTTTCCAGGAACACACTGCACACTTTGCTGAGATACAGCAAGTTTTTAGTTTATAGCTCTTCAGGAATGAACTCGCCGATGCTATTTTATACCCATCAAACTATGTTCTGTTTGGCACTTTTCATAGATTCAACTAAAGAAATCAGAACAAATGAGGTGTTTTTGTAAGAAAGTAACTAAAGATGGCAATTACAATAGAAGTGATTCTGTCTCCTTGGAGGCAAAATGTAAAGAAATGATAGGGTAGCTCAAAACACTTCTGGATTTTTATGTTAAAGTGAGACGGAAAGTACTAACTACAACAGCTGCAGGACAGAATTTATGTATAAACGCTGCGACATAGTTAAAAGACAACATGCAGGACGGTGTTTTTACAGCTATCTAAAAAGTGTGAGGAAACTGTATCACATGTTTGTTTATTAATTAATATTATAGATTTCCTCCATGGTTTTTCTTGATAAAAGCTCTGCATGTTACTGGTGTAAATACATCTGGAATGAGAAAATAACTAAAATCAGAGACAGCTTTAAGCCTTCAGGACCCTCTCACGTGGAATCAGCTCGCAGTTTAGATTAAGGAGACAGAAACCTTCTCTAAAACTTGGTTTGATAAAGCTTACAGTTAGCCCCTTACTGTAGCTATGATGACAGACTCATGATGCACTGAATGCCTCCCCTTAACCCCCTATTTCTCTCCCAATGCATTCATATATGCCACTAATGGGAATTATTAATTTGCCAATCTCCTAAATTGTGGGGGAAAATATCTGCTCCTCCCTTTTAAAAGGGCGTTCTTGCTCCTAATAGCTGTCATGTGTTTGCTCATAGGGGATGATCGCTGGAGTTCTTACTCTAATGTTGAAGGGTCTTTACCAAACAGTATAAACTGCCTGGAGACAACTGCAAAATAAAACAAAAAATACATTAATTTCTATCTTTTAATCAGACATTCGGCTGTGCTGAAATACAGCAAACAGCTTCATTCAACTGCTGCAGTAATCCATATTAGAAATGCTCAGCTGAGTAAAGAGAAATTATAGTTCATCCAGTCTTCAAGAATGTTTAAAGTGTCAGTTGCACCTACAATAATAACCACCAAACGCTGTGATGAAACTTCTCCAGATCTCCAACAATTCCCTTTGATACTAAACAAAAGTGGATTGGAGTCACTAGCCTGAGAAATCAACAGTTAACAGCAGCTCAGATCAGAGCTCAGCTCAGTGCTTTGCAGCCATGTTTCAGAATCAGGTGTTTATCAGGCTTTCAAAGAAAATAAACCACTGATGAGGTTCACCAACAAGATGAGAACAAACAATCATGGACATTTGGCCAGAAGATATTTGAACTTGGTCTGATAAATCTAAATATGAGATGCTTGATTCCAGCTGCCATGTCATTGTGGCAGAGAGAGGCTGACAGATGGTATGTTCCCTAAGGGTTGAAGGGGGGGTGCATTCCCTCTTTTATGGCTTCTAGACCAAGAATATTGAGTGGTGAATAAGATCCAATCACCACTACAACCACCCAACCTTCACCCATTTGTCAAGCTGTGAAAGGTAATGGAAAATGAGTATAGTTGTAAGAAAGAAAGTTTTACTATGTGTTATTGGGAAGATTCCTAAACAAAGTACACTCTTGGTGCTTCCACAGAATTTAAAGGGTAAGTAGCAGCTCAGTGCTTCTCAATCAAATCTTCTTCTTCTTCTCATGGCTCATCCCATTAGGAGTCACTCCAGCACTTTTTCCTATGCTCTTTTTATGTAAGTGTACTTTCCAAGCACATAGTGTTAGATAGTAAACACTTACTAACATTCTATTTAAATGCACACCGATGGATGCATCCGCGTAAAAAGATTAGTTGTTGAAGAGAAAGGACCCACTCCTTTCAGAGGTCTCGCTAAGTGCCTGAGGTGGTGGTAGGTGTGCATGCCATGTGCCCCCCGTGAACGCTTACACACGTTGCGCCTGTGACATCATGAGCTTAAGTGACGCAATCGGTTAACCAGGCACAGCTGAGTAATTAGAAAGTGAAAATATCTCTTCTTTTATTTTCATGTATTTATTTATTCTTTTCTTGTTTTTATTAAAGGTTTTACAGTCGGAATGGTTCAGTGACTTGCTCTATGTTCCAGAGAAGCCAAAGATTCAATTCAATTCAGTTTTTATCAAATCACAAAAACATCTCAAGAGGAACAAGGAAAAAAAAAAGGTGGGAGCTGTGTCGCCTCCCAGCTCCTCTCCCGTCCGTGCGCGTCAAAAAGGCGAGAAACCAGCCCGACCAGTCCACAGCAGAGATGGCAGCAGAGATGGCAGCCGAGTGGACAGACGCAGCGCTCGAAGAAAACGCCGGCGAAGAGTGCAGTCGTAGCATCCCGAAGAGACATGCCCGGGTTACGGTGAAGTACAACAGGAAGGAGCTGCAGCGACGCCTCGACGTAGAGAAGTGGATCGACGAGAGCCTGGATAGACTGTACGCGGGGCAGGTGGGTGTCTCTGAGAGAAGTGAACTGATTTAGGATACTGCACAGTACTGTCTGCGTGTCCAACACGTTTAAAAGCTTTCGAGTTGAGAAGAAGTTGAAATGCGAAATGGAAAATATTATATTTAAACAAGAATGTTGCGTGAAGACACTTTCCTGAGACTCATCTTCAGGTCTCTGTTGATTTATGAGGTGTTTAGGGAATGAGGGGTGGGGCACTATGTTGTCCTTACAAGGCCAAACATCCTGTAGATGTGAGATCTGCTGCTGTTCCCGTCTCACAAATCTGTATTTGTCTTGGAGCTTTCTGCCTTACATGGGCAGTGTGGAACTGGGAGAAAAGGAAGAGGGGGTAGGAGGGAGAATGCTGGTTTTATGTCCCAGGAGGGGGTAAACACTACATCTGGGAAGCAGCTGACAAGATGTTAGAATCCCTCAACAGGAGTTTCAGGGAAAGTTTCTTGTTTTTGGACTTAAGAGTTATAATGAAAGTCTGGTTTGATTTTAAAATGGCAGCATTCAGATGGTTACAATGATAAGTCATCTCTCCAAATAAAAAGGAGCGAACATACCAATTTTCTCATCATCCCCATACCCAGAAGATTCTGAGTGAGACAAATGCTTTTTGTTTGTAAAATGGTCCTTTACAGTGAACCGACCTTACTCAACCAAGTATGATTATGCAACATAAGGTCATGTCACACTCAAGAACAGCATTTCATTGTTTTCAAAAATAAAACAAGCCTAAAAGCAGGAGTTGCTGTTATAGTGCATAGAGTTGCAGTCCTATAAGTGCCAGGGGCCTGATCACAAAGGCAGTGCAGTGCACTGGTGTGCATGGGTGGGTGGACTGGCCCTTCACTCAGCTTGTACAATGGCTGTTTGTTCAAACAGAACACGCCACTCTTACTGTAGCCTATTACATGAACACTGTTAACATTTGGTCCCCATAGCCTAAACAATGCAATTAATGTTTGCAGGCTGAATGTAAATATTCCAGCTACTATTAAAGCTTAAAGTACTATTTGGACATGGAGGTTAAATGTTTCAGGAAGTCTTTTTAACTTAGTGACTGTTAAAATGGACATTTGCACATGGCTGAATCTCTTTTCTCAGCATAAAGGTAGCCTACCTTTAGAACTTGGGTATTCAGAAAGTCCCTGTAAGTATGCGTACTGTGAATGTGCTGACTAACAGACATCTGGTAAGAATATTACTGTAAAGTTGTGCAAAAGTTGTTTTGTGTGAGCCGTTTATCCTGGGATGAAACTTTTTTTTTTTTTTATTTTAAGCTCAGTCTTGAGGGTGTGAGGACTCTCTGAATGGTGTGGTGTGTATGAAGAGGTTTTAGACCATCATATTAGAAAATGTTCATCCAAATGGTGAAAGTCCCCATCCAATGGTGACTTTCTGTTAGATTTAATTTTAATTTATCAGCTGTTTGTGTTCCAAAAGTTATCATTCCCAGGGAGTGAATCCTCTCCTAATCTCAGCCTATTCCTTTTTATGGTTTTTATTAGCCAGTTGAAGTGGAAGAGTTGAGACAGGCTCTAGGTGGTAGCGAAGAGTTACCAGATAACTGGGAAAGTACAGCTGACGTGTTGAAGTATTTGCTGTATCGTCTGGACAAATGAAAGAAGACCAGGAGACTCAGCAGTGGAATGAGCAAGTACACAAAAATATTCAAAGGAGGAAGCTGGCACAGAAAAATTGAGATCGGTACATAGATGAAGAAAGTGGATTGGGGTAGGCTAGACATACAGCAAAGACAGACAAAGTAAAAGAAAAGGCTTATAGTGAGCTTATGCTAGCTTGGACACTGAAGGAGAGAAGGACTTGCACTAGCTTGGCAGAGGGCTTGAACTGGAAAGGATGTGCAGCAGGTCAGGGTGATCAAGGATAGACATGAAAATGTACTAATTAATAAAGAGTGCTGAGAAAATGAAATAACTACTTTAAAGAACTTATGAATGAAGAAAGTAGTAGTAGTAGTAGTAGTAGTAGTAGTAGTAGTAGTAGTAGTAACTACAGAGAGATAAAGCTGGTGGTTGGTTTGCAGTAGTGATCGCCAGGTTGATGGATGTTTCGTTTTGTTCACATGATCATAGTTACTTTGGATCCACTGACAACTGAAAGGACAAAGTCTTAAGTTATGAGTTAGTACCTGCTCCAAAAGGCACCGACAACACAAACACAGTAAAGATCCAGTGTAATGACTTAAAGTAGTAGATAAGGTCTAATCTGAGGCAGATTTAAACCAGCTCCAGCTGCCTATTTCTGGCCACCTGGCAATCAAAGCGGCCACCCCCCAAACTTTTGTATCCAAGTGAATTTCATTCAAAATAATTATGAAGGGGGAAACTATCCACAGAGGCTGAAACAGTTCTTTGTACCAAGCTGTAAACATGCTTTTTAATGCTATAAAGCTGTGCATATTAATATGTGATTCTATGGGGAATGACTAACTCTTGAACCCAGCTTCAGTTGCTATCTAGACAAACAGCAGTCTTTGAAACCGCCGCATTGGCCTAGTTTTTCAACGCCATAGGTTGCCCCTTAAACAAAGAAACAGATGAACAAAGCATTTAAAGCTGAGTGCATGCCAACTGCAGGAAAACGGACGATACTTGATTTTTCAACTGATAACAAAATCAGTATTGTAGCATGCATCTGTCACATTCTTGTGACGTGTGTATGCCTTCTACGATGACTCACTGAAGCGTTCCACATGTGTGTTTTCATTACTTCCATGTCCATGTGTTTCCCTCAGGAGAGTGACATGCCAGAGGAGGTTAACATTGACGATTTGCTCGACCTTCCGAATGAAGAGGAGCGTGTCAAAAAGTTGCAGGTAATATGACCTGTTGCATTTATCACTATCTTTTCAATTTTGGCATGAGATAAATGGACATGTTGTTTTGTTTTTTATTTCTGACCAAATAAATAAAGTAAAAAACACAAGGTGCATTAATGAGGTTGGTATACAAGTCCAAAATTGAGCAGGTAGACGTAGACACTCTTCAAGAAAAACCCCCTTATGTAACAACGAACAAAGAAATTTACAAATTAAATTTTATACAGGTTGCTACGTTCTCATTAGGTATAGATATGTCCACATAACAATAATAATGGAAAATAGTAGTCAGAAATCAGCAAAACGGAGTCAAAACGATAAGTTTGATAAGTCAAATCATCTTCATACAAAATTTTTTTTTGTTTGTTTTTATACAGTTGTATGAACTTAAGGTTTGTTTTAACACTGTCCTTTTTTTTAAAAACAGGAACTTCTTCAAAAGTGCAGAAGCAGCACAGAGGTAAGTTAAAACTGCAAGTTACATTTACAAGCACTGATGCAAACATGCACGTGAGCTAAACTAAAGCTACAGCCCGTCTTTCTTCCTGCGGTCCTTCCACATTCCTTAGCAACAGCTCTTTTTTTTTTTTTTCTTTCCAGTTCAGTGATTGAAACAATGAGGCTCTCTGGAACAAACGGAGTCAGTGTAGGAGCTGCATTTTCATTTTTTTGTTTCTTTTTTCTTTTTTTAACTCAGACTTAATTTATTAGACTTTTTGGATATGGATTAGATTAAACTGATTCACTTTTATCCAAGCACTGAAACATTTTTTTCTTCCCTTCTATATCCTCTCCTCACCATGGACTATATGCCCTAAAAAGTAAAGTTTTCAGTACGACTTCAATAAACACTTTCCTAATGAGTTGATGATCTCAGTTGTTAGCATTTAGTCACTGATGATCTCATTTAAAGAAAAATAGATGTTGAAGCAGAGTATTGTTTTGGCAGTGGATGCCTTTGTGCCTGACAAGATCGACAAAGATTAACATGGGGGCAGCCGAAATGCTGTTGAGGCTTCAAAATGTTAGTCCATAACTCGGTTAATGGTTTCACGCTAGCATAAGCTCCACTAACAGTGGAAGGGACAAAAACCACACTCCTGTTTGTGCAGAAATCGATTGCAAAGTTTATCTTAAATAAACGTGAGCAGTCCAAGTCTAAAGTTTCCATGCTGGACAGCTGTGGATGGATGTGACGTTTGCACCGGTGATGACTGAAGCAAACACGCATACAATATTCAACAGTCAGTGCACGTATGACTAGGTGAATATTGTTTTAAAATAGGTTCAATTAATGAAGGTAATGAATGAATGTAAAACACCTGCAACAGCTACAGCTGATACTAACAGAGATTTAGTACTTCTGATGAATGTTTATGAATGTTCATAGTAAACAAATGTGGACAGGGAGTATTTCTACATGGCAGGGGCATCGGGTTTTTTCACCTGCACGTAGACTGTTACATAACACAATATATCTGGGTATTGCATGTCTCAACAAACTATAGGGCTCAAGTAGCTAAAGCAGCGAAAAGCTTAACCAAGTGTAATGCTAAACATAAAATTAAAGGCATCACGATCACATGCTACCAACAACTCACAAATCACAACAACAGTGTCCTCAAGGTGCTTTATATTGTAAGGTAAAGACCCAACAATAATACAGGAGAACCTCAACAATGTGATAACCCCTTATGACCAAGTGCTTTGGCAACCGTGAAAAGAAAAATATCCAGTTTAACAGGAAGAAACCGCAGACACACTCAGTCATAGGGAGGGACGGCCATCTGCTTCGACCGCTTGGAGGAGACTCT